TACCATGATGAGATAGTAGGAGATGTCAGTTGCAGAATGAAAAACTTAATCCACTGTGAACTTTGAAAAGTAGTGTGATAGGGAAGTGAGTGTCATGCTGGTCTTTTCTGGTAAAAGTGAGAGGTAGTCGAAGCAGTGTCATCAGTTAATGGTCATGGTCGTTTAGATGTGGGATCGGTGGTGGTCCGTCCTGAGATGGGTGGGCAATCTGAATATTGTCGCACCATAGAGGGAGAAGCCGGAAGCATGGTCAAAGATGTAAGGAGGTCAGAAGTGTCAAAGGAGTCTGGCGATACCTCGGTACAGGAGCAGGCAGCGGAACATTACCAGCAGAAGGTACAAAGGTATTAGAAAGGTCCGAAAAATGGTCCAATAATGAGGTAGGGTCATAACAGGGTGCAGCAGCAGAAAGGGGCCCAGTAGTAGTAGTTCCATGGATCTGAGACTCCATGGTTATGTCACTTTCTTTTTCAGAAAAAAAAAGGAAAAAAGAAAAAGGGAGAATGTGGAGGGATAGCTCCTAGGAGGAATGAAAGGGCCCTAAATCCCCCCCACCATGGCCAAGAAGACCTCAATGTTGCCAGTAGTGCAGATGTAGCATGGAACCCATGTCATACCCTACCCTTCATGATCAATTGGACACATGTGCAACTCTTGGGTATCTTTGAGGAAACGTTTTGCCACACAGTGGCTTCATCAGTCCTTACAAAGGAGAAACTTGAAGAACAGGAGGAGAATGAGGTAATCAGTCCCTCAACCTTGAGTCGATGTGGTCAGTCCATCAATCTTGAATAGAATATGGCATGTGTGCGGAGAAGCAGCTTATAAACCGTAGGCAGGAGAGGTGCAGCAGTCGTAGGTGGTGTCACCTTTGTCCAGTGTGGAAGTAGGTCATGCCCAAGGGTTAGGCAAGTGAAGAATTCCCAAGTATTAAGATCCCAAGAAGTTGCAGTGTCTGACAGGATTGTAGATGAATGGTTCAGAGAACCGACACATTGATAAATTGGACACATGTGCAACTCTTGGGTATCTTTATTGAGGAAATGTTTCACCACACAGTGGCTTCATCAGTCCATACAAAGGAGAAACTTCTTGGGATCTTAATACTTGGGAATTCTTCGCTTGCCTAACCCTTGGGCACGACCTACTTCCACATTGGACAAATGTGACACCACCTAAACTGCTGCACCTCTCCTGCCCTTGGTTTATAAGCTGCTTCTCCGCACATATGCCGTATTCTATTCAAGATTGATGGACTGATCACATCGACTCAAGGTTGAGGGACTGATTACCTCATTCTCCTCCTGTTCTTCAAGTTCCTCCTTTGTATGGAATGATGAAGCCACTGTGTGGCGAAACGTTTCCTCAATAAAGATACCCAAGAGTTACACATATGTCCAATTTATCAACGTGTCAGTTCTCTGAACCATTCATCTACAATCCTACCCTTCATGCCAGTAAACCAGCAATCCGGGAGAGGAATCTCACATCTACCAAGCCACCTCAGTGGACAAAAGAGAGGGCAGTCGGATACCTGCCACAAAACATAACTCCTTCAGCCACCACCTCCTGGAATCCGACAGGCAGTCTCCAAAGATACACCTGTCACCTGAAGCCTCTCCCTGAGAGACCAGAGAGGGATCAGGACATCCCCAGATGAACCAGATCCCATGGCAAACTACACCACTACCAAAGACCTCAATGAAATGGGATGGACCATGGCACCCTTCCCCTTACCTAGGAACTAGAATGCCTGAGGGGAGAACCCCAAAGGCTGAAAACGGGAAAGGCAGAGGGAAGGGATGGGAAAAGGAGGAATGGGAAAGGAGGGATAGGGAAGATGGGATAGGGAAGGGGGGATTGGGGTGTAATTACATTCAGTCTGAGTAAGAAGACCAAAAGGTCAAATTCCTCAGACCAAAAGCCTCTTTGCCATGTCAAGGAGCCCCCCTTGAAGAGGAATGGGATGGACAACCGTACCAGTTCCCCAACCTAGGAGCTAGAATTCCTGAGGGGAGAACCAAAAAGGCCAAAAGTAGGAAAGGGAGGAGAGGGGAGGGATAGGAGGGGGGGGGGGGTAATTAGGGTTGGTCAGAGGAAGATTGAGAGATCCAGTTCCTCAGACTGACAGCCTCTTTACCACTATAAGGAGCCCAACTTATAGAGGAGGGGAGGAGAGAAAAACTGCTCCAAGAGCAACCAAAAAGAAATCATATACCCACCCTGTACCATGATCATCTCTAATTTTTTTAATTAAAAGAACCTAAGCCAAAGGGGTATACACTCAGGGGTTTAAAACCCCAAAAATTTCAAAAGGAAATCAGCAGGTTAAGAAAAGGGGGGGTTTGACGTTTTTTGGGGTTGCGAATACAATAAAAAAGGCCGAAAGAAAAGATTGTGTGACCCGTCTTGCAAAATCAATAAAGAGCGGATTTAAAAGTTTGTCCTTTAGGTATATTAAAGGTTTACAGAAACGAAAGAGGTAATTTTCTCTTTTAAAGGGCTTTAAAGTATTGCCCTAATAATTCTTTAAGAAGGGAGAGAACCTCTTGGTTCCATGGTAAGGGGTATGGGCAATCAAAAAGGGAAATGTAGTTCTCCCCGCCTCACATGGTTAAAGGGGGAATTTTTTACTCTTTAATAGACTTTTTTCCACTAAAAAACTTTCCCCCGGGTTTAAGGGGGAAAATAAAGCAAAATAAACCTCATGGGAATACCCCTTTAAGCTGAGTTAGTCAGTATTGAGGGACAGGCTCATGTATTGCCCCCTATCAACAAGCAAAAAAAAAACAATATTTATCTTAATAAAGGGCTAACCCGTTTATACAAACTGGTGGGAAAAAAATTTTTTATAGTTTTGCACTAAATCTGAAGAAACAAGAGCCGGTTGATGCAAAACGGGAAAATGCTAAAGGGTGGCTTGTCAAGTAACAGTGAGTGAAATTTGGCACGCTTCGAAACATTTCAATTCTCCCGTCAGATGATTGAGCCACGTACACAGCCATTTTTGGTGTAAAGAAGTTTTAAATTTAAAGAAAATGTGAGCCAAGCGACGGTTACAGTTGGCTTCGAGAGGGGGAAAAAAAACTCATCCTGAGGGAACTCCAATAAAGTCTTTCATGAAATAGAAAGGTGGTATTGGAAATAAAGGCATGAACAGAGAAAGGGGGGAGAGTTTAAAACAAAAATTTAAAAAACACATTTAAAAAATGAATTTTTTTGGTTGGGGGTTTTTTAGAGCAAAAAAGTAGGCAGGCAATGGGCTCACCTAGGGTTTAAAATATTTTTTGCAATGGGTTTACAAAATTTAGAAATTGGGATAAATTTAAAATTTTGTGTTTTTAAACTAGAAGATAGAGGAATGTTTAATAATTTTCCATAATCAAATTATAAATTAAGGGGGAATTTGTAAAAGAAGGGTTACATTTTTCCCCGAAAGGAACAAGTTTTAAGAAGTTTGAGGCTTACAATTTCTTTAAAGGTTTAAAAATTTAAATAACTTGACAAAAGGGCCCAAAATTACGTTTAAGTTCAGGGATACTGTGAGCCATTGAGTCAAGGTGTCAAGTGAAAGACTTTTATTGAATATTTTTTTATTAAAAAAATTTTACCCATTTGTGGCCCAATAAACTCTAAAAAAGTGGGAGAAATGTTGACATACGGTGACAGGCAAAAAGCGATTCAAATGGATGACCAATATTTGTGAAGATAGGGAAAAATTAATGAAAGAAAAAGTGTTTAAAACTCCTGACACTTCACGGAAGTCCGGGGGAGACAATATTAACCCAAACGGAAAAGCTTCAGGAAAATTTTAAAAAAATGGAAAATTGCCTCAAAAATTTAATGGTTGGAAAAAAATTATACCCCAAGGGATCCTTTCAAGTAAAAATATGGAAAAACATGGGTTTTCCCAAAAAAAAAAATATTTCCGGCTTTAATCTATGGGAAAACTCCCTTTCGAAACCCTATTGACTTTAAATGTTTTTCCTAATAAAAATAAAGTCATTTTAGAGTTCCCATTATTTGGAACCATGGAAAACAATGGGACTATAAAGGGTTATTCCTGTGTTTTCCAAAACATTTTGACAAAAGGGGCCCCAAACTTAAGACTCCCTTTTTACCAATATAAAATGTAAATGAAAAGGACTGAGGGGTTTATTAAAATTTGTACATTCAATAGTTCTTTCCCCTTTCTGCAAAGTGAATTTCCTATTTTAAGGTTTAAAGGGAAAAACCTTTTTTCCCGAAAATAAAATCTTAACCTCGCCCTGAGGAAAGAAATGGGGCCATAATGGAGTCCCTGAGAAACGGACCAGATGATCCCAAATTCTTGGCAACATCTAGGGGGTTTGCTAATCAACACCGGCAACCCGCAGAACAGGAGCCGGTCAGGAAATTTTTACCACTCAGTTTTCGTACTTTTTCCAGACTGCACTCATAGAGAAGCAGAGGGATGTGGAGCCCATAACTCGCCAGCAAGGAGTTTAGCATCACGGATGACACGGCGAGCGATCGCAGCTTCTGTTAAAAATAAAGGGAGTCGCTCTGGGGTTTTCTATTGTACCGGTAACTGCCCAGAAAGCGCGTTAAAACGTACTGCACGAGCACAAGCAGAGACCACCAAGGCACGCATTTCTGAGAATGCTGCCCGAAGTTTGGGGTATAGAATGAGAAGCTGCGGTGAAAACGGAGGACGAGAAGAGGTGTAAAAGTCATCGATGGAGGGACGAAGAAGGACTCTTTAAAAACGTCAGGTGAGAGGGTAAAGGTTCCATTTGCCCGATAAATTGCCGCGTGGGTGCGAAGGTGCAATATGAAGGGAATTTAAGAATGATTGGGAAATGATCACTGTCATGTAAGTCCGGGAGAACAGACCAAGTGATCATCCTCAGTGCAGCAAGGTTGGGTACTGGCAACCTAGCCAATTTATCTATGCTACTATTAACACAAGTTACCCCTTAATTTCTTTTCTCAACATATTCATAGGACAAATCAGAAGCTTGTGGATGCTGAATATTTATATTTGGAAGCTTGAGAACATGTCATTTTTTATATGTTCTGTTTCTTGACTGACATCCTAAGCGCAGCACAGAATGAGCATTAGTGCCTGACCAGAGTGTCCAATACTGACAACATTCATAAAGAGCAGAATTTTCAACAAGTTTGTGACTTGCAGATATCATCCTCAATTTGTTCTAGAAACAAAAAATGAAGAATATCTGCTTATACTAATATTCTCCACAAGATCATATATTTATGATATTTCCCCTCAGTTTTATTTACTTCTTTGATGAATTTGGCCAGTTTATGGTAACCTCTGTGTGCTTGGCTTTCTTTGTACATGTGATTCATAAAAAATGGGATATAATGTAGTTTACATGACACCTACAAAATGTGCTAGATGGGATATTTCATCTTGTGACTCATTAGATATAAGAACATCTTTTACCACAGAAACTTTCCCTCCGAGGATGAAGTATAAAAGCATGGATAAACCTCATGGGAAATAAGTTCTTCTATAATGCCTGAAGTTCATCAGTCTATTTTAAAATGATGTGAACAAGAACTACAATAGTAACACGATCTTGTATCAAACAAGCATAAATATTTATGAATAAGTTTCAAATATATACTACTGAATAATGGCAGTATATAACTCCGTCTTTATACACAGTCTTGGTGACCACACGTCATTTTATTTACATAGTTTTCCGACTGTATTTATCTGTACATGACTTTTACGAGAGGTCGGGTGAGATTGGCTGGAAAACCAGACAGGTGACTAGGATGTCTTTGTCAAGTTCTGCCAAGCCAAGAGTGTCAGGGAATTTGGCAGCTTCTGTATATACATTTCACTTCTCCCTATGATGACAAAATTGAGCTTGACACAGCACTGACACAAGACTTTCATAGCAGTTTCCACGTGTTGTAAAGGAAGTTGCTACTAAATGACACTATGTTGACTTTCAAGCAGCTGGTACATGACATCTGAGAAGCATCTGTGCTACTTATTAAACACTCATCTCTTGGAAGAAGTCTCAATACCCTCTTTCCTATTATGTCTTACATGAAATTAAGATCAATGTTGTATTGGATATTATTAATGAGGCAATGCAACCAATATGCTAAAAAAACAGAGGAGAGTAATAACATTAAACATTAGAAAGGAAACAAGCAGATACAATAATGATAATCTTTTTGTGTTGGTTTTATCACAGACAAAAAACAGGTACGGCAACATATTGGCTACACCACTCATATATGTGTAAAATATATTTATAATTTGGAAATGTTACTTAAAAAATCATTTTATGTAAATTGCTCTATATAATATCAAAGATTTATGTTTGCTTCTATATAAACTGGCACCAAGTTAAAATGTTGAAATAGTTACAATGATTATTAACATAATAAAAATAGGAATCATTGTACAATTTTGTCAAAAACTTGCTAATGGCATTACATTTTTATACTGATGAAACAAGGTGTAACATAGAATTGTTACAGTATTTGATGTGCACAACTTACAATGCATGACATAACTTGTTAAAAAATTTTAACAGTAACTTGAACATTAGTCCATCCACAACCCTTACAGTTAAGCTCAGGGATGACTTAGCCATGTGATTGTGTTACTTTCTCAATGCTAGTAAAGACTAATATTTTACTTAGAATCAAAATATATGTATATAAAATACATTTTACTTTAATAAGGCAAATAATACTATCTTTAAAATTTAGTGTAGGATGTAATTATGTTTTTTTCTATGCATAAAACTGGTGACAGGTCAAGTTATGTCTTGAAATGTCTGAAATGCCATACCTTATAGTTGTGAAGATAGTAAATTTACAATTATGGAAAAGAAGAAGTCAGTTTAATTCTGTTACCATAGCAACACAGTTACACAGTAGTGTATCAAGAATCAACCTCTAAACTTATGCTTTTATCAGGCAAAAAAAATGAATTAAAACATAATATGCACAGTTGTAGCCATAAAGTTAATTATTAATGAAGAAAATATATTTAATAACTCAAGGGATACACTTCAAGAAATAAAAATATACGAGATAGCAATGTTTCCACAATAAAAAAAAAAAGAATTTCACTTAACTATTTAACTGACTTGTACAACCAACATCTCATTTCTGCATACATACTGTACTCTCTCATGTTATATAATAACATCTGAGAAAATTAATAAGTAAAACAATCACAGGTTCTACATCATTTGTGCAACACATTAAGAAAATCAACCTGTAATCATCCTAAACAACTATAACAATCTTGGTTATACCAATTCTACAATCACTTTAGCATCATATTTGGCAAGCAAACATTACCATTGCATCTTGACATATGCATTACACCAATATAAAATGCATGCCACCTGGGAATTTGAGGCCATTAAAATCTTGACCATTCAAGTAGTTACATTTATCTTCCCTATGTACATGTCCAAGTGAATCATAATTTTCCTTTGATTATTCTTATAGCTACAGTACTTCAAGAGAAACAATTCACAGATACACACATCACAAACCTCTTTTCATACACTCAGTTCCCTGAGGAAGCAGATCCAGCAATATATTGCCTTCAGCAGAATACTCAACCATTTCTCTGCATAAATGGCTTTAATTCCAGAGTAAAAAAAAAAAACAAGCTTTAGTTAGAATCAACACTGTTAGCACACATGAGAATGAAACTGCTCGACAATGGGAGATTATAAACTAATTACCTCATTAATATATGATTACCCAGGGAAGATAAAATTTATGGCTTACTAATAGGATAAGAGTCCAATGTGATAACAAAAGTACTAAATTGTACAACATGAAAAAAATTAAAGACAACTATGATTTTTGAAAATGAAAGATGTAATGAACTTCATTTTATAGTGTACAGTTATTTTAAAGAATATACAGTATATAATTATATCTAAGATGGTGGATGAAACTCTGTAGTGCCAGTGATGGCAGAAATGGTGTCGTAGAATGCTGTGATGAAGCCCAGAAGAAGAATACACAGTGGCACGATACTCAACGCCACAGCCTGTTGGAATCATTAAAGAAAGTGGAATATTAAAGTAATATAAATACATTTACATTCTCTAATTTTCACTTTCTTCTTAAAAGCAAAGCTGCCCTACTAAGGATTTTTCTACACAAAATCTTTCATATCTAATCCCAACTAATTAATTTTCAGCATCAGTCTCGTTAAAACTATCATGTGAATGACCATCTTCCATCAAGTGCAACTTCAACAGATTTTTCTAGGCATTTTTTATGGCACTTTAAATATGAAGTAATTGTTAATACATTAAAAAAAACTTAAGTACAATACTACGTATGATATACTTTGAAAAGCTAATAGATACTATCAGATACGTTATATGCCTTCTTTTATATTACTAGTTACAACTTTCATTTTTAAAAGACAAAATATTCATAAATAAATGCAAGAACTGAAATTGTAAAGGCTATTCACTATTAAAAAAATTCTTGAAATACAATCTATGCCTGGCTGTGAGAGTGGAAAAAACTCTTTAAACAAGCCATAGGTATAATGTATTGGATTTTCATTTCCTAAACAATATTCTCATTCTATTATCTCTTCTCAATTATATGTCAACCATGTCTTACTGGTAGTTAAAATTTATCACACATATTACCAAGAGAGTTCTTAAAACAAGTTTTACTGCACTATGCTGTTTTAGTTTAAACAATTAATCAACCACATATAATACAAGTATACTTAATTATACCCAATAATCTAATTATCAATATTATATAGAAACATGACACTTTCCTAACCTATTATTGTATTCATTACTTCGAAGACAACTCAGTTGCTTGAAATCTACTTTTAACCCTTAAATTGTCCAAACATAAATCTGTGTTCGTACGGCTAATGCTCCAAACATAGATCTACGTTTTATTTTTCCTGCCTTCAAATTTGGCATGATTGGCCTGAGATGCCTGGTCAGTATAGAATGGGTCTTAACACTTGGTGTGAGCAGTATTAAAACAATCTGGGACCACTTAGTACCTTGTGGGAGCACCAGTTCAACTGAGTGCCAGCTAGAGCAAATAGCGTGGCAAACACCAGAGATTCACTGATGCTATGTCGTATTAACACTCCCCTTTTAAGAGGAAAGTGATGTTGACCCAGAGTTTAGTGGCTTTGAGATGGATGTGGCCACAAGTGGTCAAGGAAATATATTATTATTATTATCAAAAAGAAGTGCTAAACCACAAGGGCTCAAGGAAATATAAAAAACCTTGATAATAACCCATGTGCAACATTTGTGCAACATCCTTTCATTTCTGATACCACTGGTAGTGTCATCCTTCCAGAATGTCCAATAACCTATGCCCTAAGAAAAGAGAAACAATTCTGGAACATGTGTAATACGTGTTTGGCAGGCCTAGTGGTTGGCTGGCTGGCTGGCTGGCTGGCTGATTGACTTGGGCTGTATTTCCATCTGTCTGTCTGTATCTATCTCTACATGTCTCTGTCTATCTCTTTCTCTACCTCACAGGTATACATAAATAATTATACATAGTGTAAATTACCTAGGATAACCCAAAAAATACACACACAGTGCTATACTGTGCTTGTAGATATAAGGCATAATAAGGATGACTGGCAAGTAATACGCATTACACTTGTTCAAGAATCAGATGTGACTGCATCGTGTGTAATACCTGTTAGATCATGAGTGGTTCTCTGAGACAGAGACAAGCAGACAGACAGGAAGACAGATAAGCAGAGACAAATAAAGAGACAGAGCTAGACAGATAAACAGATAGACATGTTTATATGTGACAGTGAAAACAAAGCTAACGCAGTGCACTGTCAGCAATGGAGTGACACTCGTCTTACAGTGCTGCTTAAAAGAGTTTCATATATACTCCAGCATGTCTAAAACATTGCTGGGACCTATAAATACTATGTATATATTTCTAAACAATAGTAGGTGACAAAGGCAGGTGAAAATGTTCATTTGTCAGTGTGTTTGTGACTATTTGAGTACCTAACATTAGTGGCAGAACAAACATTGGCTATGAAATCACAAGAACTACTACAATTTGTAATTATCAGAACAAATTAATTATATAAATAAAAAAAGAGAAAAAAAGGTATATCAGCAACACTTCTGCAAGCAACAGGACTCCACGCTGCCGTCAGGTGAGCATCCAGTGCCAACTTCGCGGTCTTATATCTCGGTAAGTACCAAGGTATAAGAAAATTGTCCTCTTTAATTTATAAAAAAAAAAGTTTTATTTTTTTTCAAAATATTCGGAGCGTTGGCAGTGAAAACGTAGAGCTACGTTTGGACAGTTTAAGGGTTAACAGTTATGTCTCCAAGTAGTAGTTTAATCCTAGTTTAAGGCTGCCCAAAATGCTTAGCATACATACACTAAACCTCATAATGTTGGGGATACCTTCCTGAAAATGTGCCTTATGAATCATTCAAGTAAAGAATATGTTAAAATAGACAGGTTTAATTGACAGTTTATTTTGCCATACATTTTAACTGTCTTTGCTTGTTGACATGGAAGTTTATGGAGAGGGTGATGTAGCCTCTCTAACTGATGGTTGTACTGGAGCAATAAGTATTTTGTAAGGCATTTCTGGTCTGTTTTACCCTGCAGTACTTTATACAGTTGACAACAAGAAATCGTCAGTTGTTGTAGATTTCACTTAGCAATGCTTCTTGATAAGTCAGGATCCTTTTCAGCAAAAAACTTCTGTAACTTTACCAATAACATGGAGTTGTTCATGTAATTCCTACAGTGTTAACTGCTTATCTTCAAGTTCTTTTTCCTCATCTTCCTTCATCTACCTTCAACCACAGAGTCTCAGTCTTTGTCAGAGCCATTCCTAAACCTCAGTCTCTACTTAGAACACAACTTATTCATCGCAGAAGGCCATAACAGACACCAGCCTGCATTGATGGTTGACTGGAGCATTTCATTCAATGACACTTTTGTGTGTGCAAGTGCATCTGCAAATACTGAATTTACACCAAAACTCTAGCACACCAATCTTGGAGTTGTCATCCATTGCTGTGATGAGTTTTTTCATTATCTTGTGTGCATAGTGGCATTAAATTGTCCTACCAACTCCTCAATCTAATGGAGTATCAGAGATGTCATATTGGGTGGTAACAAACATCCTTCACATTTGGGTTCAGAGACTGCAAAGATTTGAAGATGACTATAGCAATCAAGAGCGAGAAGAACCTTCAATGCAAAGTTCTTTCCAGCCAGGTACATCCTGACTGCCAAAATAAAATGACGCTTGAACCAATCAACTAACAGAGCCTCAGTATCCATTCAGCCTAGTTAGACGGCCAATTAAAGAATCCATCAGGAAAAGGATTCGATGAATATAAGAAATCATAGCCCGAAATGGGATAGATAACAGTGGAGTGCAATTTGGGTTCTTGTAAACAAACACAAATGGGGAAAACTGGGAGAGCAACACCTGAAGCTCACCCTAGTTACCTCTGAAGCCGCAGATAGTCCACTGTAAATAAGCCATGATTTGCGAAGAGAAAGATGCGAAAAATATGAGGGTAGAGGTAACTACAGACTAGTAGGGTTAGAAAAGTCCACACAAGTGGAGGCAGTGGAAAACTTTTAAGCAGCAAAGGATTGGGATGCTGCGAAGAAAGTTGTGCAGACAGAGAAGAGTGAAGAGGAGGAACAGGAGGTGAATCATTGTCCATCAATGGTCTAATCTCCTCAATATATTCTGAGATAGCTTCAAGTGTTTCAGAGGACAAGGATGTTGTATGTGCTAGAATATTGGAGATGGAAGGAGGGTGAGTAAAGATCAGGGTGACAATGGACTGTACCAAAGTAGGGGGGATGATGAAAGGGTAGAGGGAGCTGGGAAAGAAGCTTGGGAGACAGGAGAGGAAGCGACCTGGGAGGGGGCAGAACCTCCACACGTGTAACAGAGCCAGTTAGAGGTGAAGAACTAGGTACAAAGACTGGAAAGAAAAAACGTGCAGGTTGCAGAAGGAAAGGAGGGGTTAAAGAAGATTTTAACAATAAGGATGTTTTGGATTTCGGAGGAGAGGGGTGATGGGGAGTAAGTGTTGTATGAGGTCTTGTTGACAAAGAAACTTGTGAGTGAGAAGAGGAAGAGATGAGGATAGAATGAGGTGCTGAGATAGGGACCTCTGAGTCCTGTACAGCAAATGAATTAGAGACAGGGGTGACTGTGGAAGGGGTGACCACAGAGGAGGCTGCAGAAGTTGGGACCCCAGAGGAGGGGGGATGTTTAGTAACTCGAGAATAAGAAATACGGGGAAGTTTCCCTTGGAGGCATAGATAAGAAACAGCCATAGCATATGGGAGGCCTTCTGCTTCTGTGAAACAACAGATTTCACGCTCATTTAAGTAAACTTGGTAGCTGCGGGAATAAGATAGGTGACCCTCGTGACAATTAAGGCAAGAGGGAGGTAGACCACAAGAAGTACTGGCATGAGTCGTCGGCACCACAGACTCAGCATTCAGCCATGGACCTGTAATATTTTGCTGGATGACCAAATTATTATTATTATAATCAAAAAGAAGCGCTAAGCCACAAGGGCTATACAGCGCTGCAGGGTAGGGAAGGAAGCGAGGGTATTGGATGGCAGAAGGGAGGAGGGATGATCAGTAGGTTACAGAAAACAGCGGGGCAGGGGATAGTACGGGGGTAGAGGGTAGTAAGAGATTGAAGTAGAAAGGGCTGAAGGTATCAGAATTTGTGAAGTAAGTCAGTTGTTGTCAAAAAGTCAATGAGAGAGTCTGGATGAAAGGTGGGTCCATCAGCGAGAAGGGAAGGTAAAGAGAGAGAGCAGCAGAGCGAAGACGACGACGGAGGTAAATTCTGCGTGCTCGTTTATAAAGTGGGCAGTCCAACAGAATGTGGCTGACTGATAATGGAACTTGGCAATTCGCACAGAGAGGAGCAGGGCGCCTCTCCATGAGATATCCATGAGTAAGACGATTATGGCCAATGCGAAGACGGGAGAGAGTAGTCTCCCAACC